ATCTTCATATGCTTTCATATTTTGGTAATCGATCGGTACAATTTTATTCATTTCATTTGGTGCTTTGTAATTTTGGACAAAACAGGGTATTTTTATGATTTGTTGTGATTGTTGTTGCTGTTGAATGAATTGTTGTTGTTGTGTTGTAGGTGTGTTGGGGAGTAATGATACGTATTCATTTTCATCGAATGAATTTGTGAGCAATTCCCATAAGAAATTGATGGTGATTTTGTGTTTTTCGCCTTCTTTTTTGTATTTTAATATTGTGTCAACTAGTGTAACCACTTTTGCGGAGAGTTTTTTTTTGTTTGTTGTACTATTATCCGATTTATGTTTTTGCACATGATTTTTCAGAACATGTTGTAATTTTCTTATTACAATTGTGGTTGCCTTTACCCATTCATCTGGTTGCGGACAATCTTTGTCTAGTTGTGTTCCGAACATGGGATATGCAAGCACATCGTCATCAATATCTTCATCATATTGATTAATTATATGTTAATTGTTGATTTGAAGACGACGACGAAGGCGATGGTGGCGGCGATGCAACTACTCCAGCTGGACGAATTGTTTGGTTTTTAAGCGGCAAAGCAAATCTTCTATTCAACACGTTTGTTGAAGTTTCTGCAGCATATGCAGCATACTCTTCGGCTGGATGAGTGTGTTGATTTGGTGCGCTGGATGGTATGTTTGTTCGGGAGATCAGTAAGTAATTGTTATACACAGTCTTTTTTATGGAGAGAATATATATTTTTTTTTGTGCGTATACACGGACGGCTTACTTACAACTAACTACTAACTGTGTCGGTGCGGTGTGTCTACACAGATGCTTGTCTCTGTGTGACAGCTGCGACACACCGACTTAGTACTGTGTGCCAATACCGTGCATTGGTATTGGTCACTGTACTGAACAATGTTGGTCGGTGCAAACGAAAGCACATAGTTGTTTATTATCGTATTGTTGTTCACGACCTTTCCCTTTTCCACAATTTGAAGGGAATTTATGTCTTTGACATTTACAATTTTCATTATTTAAATATGATGATGTTCAAATGAATGGTTGAGAATAATAATGAAACTTAATTTTTCTTCAAACTGAAGTGTCCCTTCGGAATATTTCCAATAAAAGTGTCCCAAGTTTGTGTATAGTTTTCCATATAAACGTGGGACACTTTTATTGGAAATATTTCGAAGGGACACTTCAGTTTGAACAAAAATTAAGTTTCATTATTATTCTCAACCATTCAAATATGCCTAAATGTACAAAAGAAATGAGAATTTTGTTTTATTTATTTGAAGTGTGACATTGCAAAAGATTTCTGGCTTATCCATTCTAAGGTTTATCATTTATCCAAAAAAATGTTACGTTACATTTTACTCGGCGCATTTTGGCGGAAATAAATTCAACAATACGTTTGTCTTGCGTCTATAACTCTAGCCATAAATAAGTAGGAATCATTTTTCGGAGAAATGTAACCCATCTTTTACTGACTCAATGAGCATTGTAACAATGCCCCATCACAAACATTTCGAAAACGCAATTGATTTAGACGACCCACAAAGTGATTGATTTCGCTGTTCACAGCTCATCAGTGCAGCTTTGTAGGACGTTACCATCTGCAGATCAAATCACTTTTAAGTGTGACTTATCAGATGGTATCGAGGTCTGCCGGATGGGTTACATTTCTCCGAAAAATGATTCCTACTTATTTATAAGTTTAAACTGTCTCTGATAAACAATCAAAACTTTTTTTAAGTTTTTATTTTAATCTTATTTGGATTTTCAGTCCTTATTTCTCTCTCGAAACACTTGATATCACATGAAGTGACATGTTTTGGGCACAAACAATCATTTTCTCAATTGTTTGGAGTTTATTCTCGCCCGGTAATATCCGGCAGACCTCGATACCATGCTGTTTTCCGTACACGCTGTTTATATACGACTCATACGATGTGTTGTTTATTCTTTTTCTCGTCATTTCATTAAAAGGCGCAGAAATGGTGCGGGCACCTTTCAAAAGGCGCCAATTGTTCGAACGGGAGTCAGCACTTTTTGTATGGCGGTGTTACATTTCAATAATTTGTGAATAGAAGTCTCGCTCTCACTCTCGGACATTCATATATTTTATCTACTAACCAAATGTGAAAAAATCCAATTTTTCGACTTTTCAACCCGATTTCAGGGTACAAGGGGTGCTCTGGGGATTCAGGACATATGGTTTTCTAGGAGTAATTTTTCATGAGGAATCTAAAAATGGGGTCAATTTTGAGATTTGGATTGTTTTTTACCCCATTTTGGCCATTGCCATAATGGGTTACTTCTGGGGTCATTTTTACCCCCAAGGAGAGGTCATTGACCCTTCCTTTGGTGATAATTTTTTTTGTCTCTTCAAGGGCTACAAATTTGCCGAAGAAATTATTCCAATATTTTGCGTCGTTAAAAAGATATTGATGACCGTATATAACACAAAAAGGGGATTTTTGGCACTTCAAGGGGGCGTATCTGGGGGGTATATGAATTTGGGGAATTTTTTTTGATGCCAAACGTGTTATTTTGGACCCTTCTACCACATCCAATAGGAATTTTGAAAAAAAAATCTGATACGCTGAGCATGTTTACTGGTAAGCTTGCGAATACGGATGAATTGTATGTGCGTGGGATGTGTATCCATGAAAAATTCTTAATACACCCGTCGCTATTTCTGTATTCATCAGACAATATATTTAGCTGCCGTCATCTGGATATTTCAGCTCATCTGGATGCCGTCAGCAGATGATGCGAAGTGAAAACAATAGAAGTGATTGTTATAGTAATACCAGTATATTACAAGCTTATATACCTATAACAATCACTTCTATTGTTTTCACTTCGTATCATCTGCTGACGATATCCAGATGAGCTGTAATATCCAGATGACGGCAGCTAAATATATTGTCTGGTATTCATGGATAAAATATTTATCCGTATCTGTGAACACTTTTTTTATTGGTTTTATTCAACGTAAGTTTTGATTTAGTTCCAAATTTATCTTCCGCACACTATGCGCATTGCGCATGGAAGTATTATAATGAGCTCAAAATTTTTAAATGCACGCGTTATGGCCCCAGAAATTCAAGAAAATGGTTTTTTTACCCTGTTAATGTGGGGATGTGGTACGCATTTTTCACATTTTTGTTAGTACAAGAATTCTCCTCATACGTGTACATCGACTTATTCGTGCTGAGACGAATATATACTTTTGCCGTGTTTATTTAAATCTGCCAGAACATTTATATTTGTTCATTGAAAAGATTGTACAAAATTTCGCCGGAATAGCTCATTGAAATATCGATATTTTTCCATAGAAAAATGATTGATTTTCCATATAAATCGGCCTCAAAAATGAAGTTTGCCTCCACAGATTTATCATGGAGCGTAATAATTGCCTGAATTAGGGTTCAATCTAAAAATAAATCACAAAAAAATAATGGACCAGTGGTACAGAGATATTGTTTCTAAATCACACGCCTTGCATGACAATAGTCTCTTGCATGATTTCTATGGAATCCATAAAGACGAGCGTCTTCTCCTACAAAATAATATGATACGACTAGAAGTCTTACTTTCATTGAAAATGACTCATTTCTTATTTTCTTAATTAATTATTTTTAATATTCCTATAAAAAAATAATATTAGAAATGATAAAAAAAAACATATAAACACTTAACATTTTGAATATTTGAGAGCGTTCGATTCATAGAACAAAACAATATGTGTGTTACCCAGTCACAATGAATGATTCATGCGATGTTTATACAACTGGAATGTATACAAAATGGTGAAACACATTGCCAGATACATTGCTTCAATAATAAGCACGTGCTTCAATGAAAAAAACATCAATACATTTAGTGCGTATACTAACAAGTCCTCGGTAGTATAGTGGTCAGTATTCCCGCCTGTCACGCGGGCGACCGGGGTTCGATTCCCCGCCGGGGAGGATTTTTTTTTATTTTCGTTTTTACTTATTTTGTTTGATTTTTTATTACTATTTTTCATTATTATTGGTGTATTTTCAATTTTTTTTTTTATTAATTTAACTTTTTAATATTTTGTGTTCTTTGGCTATATAAGTTTTGATGTAAGTATATTAAGACTATATAAACTTTATGACAATAACAATTATTTACTGATTATACCTTATGGTGTATAGTCTGTTTACGAAATAAAAATGTCTATAAAATATAAAAATATGTACATAAAAAATCCTATTCCACCATAGTGTTTCGGAGGAGAATCGAATCAAAAGGTGTGCTGTAAAAAATCAAATCATCCAACCAAAAATCAAAGTAATGGTATAACTAATATCAATCACATAAACAACAGCAACAACAACACATATAACAACCCAAATGAAAGTGAAAATCATTTCGTTGGTAGAAAACTTCACTGAAAAGTAAACAAATATTGAAAAAACATTTTTCTTCTTCAAATTCATTTATTTCCCTTTAACAATGTTTTATTGAATAAATGCTGTTATAATATTATTATTTTTGTATGTCATTCATTCATCTGATAAAATATTCTAATTGCTCCAACTTTCGAAGTATCATCAAAACAAAATTAACACAACATTTCTACTACTTTTTGACTATTTCATTGAAGAAATCTCCAATCTATCATCTGATAACTGCGAAAATTTATTGTTTATTTTTACTTCTGACTCTATGAACATCTCTACATTATACTGTTGCAGTAAACAAATGTTGGCTGGCTATTAAAAATGAGGAAAAAATGCTGCTCAAGGGTTTCTATTTTAAATCTAGAACAGAATGATATTGCTATTTGTTTTATCAATAAAAAAATGGAGAGTAAAAATATATAAAAATTCGTATGCTTATTGGGCAATGTTTAAACCGATGAGAATGGCCAAGATAATACAAAATATGTTCACTTTCAATGATTTGATTGTTATTTTTTTTTGAGTAAATTTTCTGCTTGGATCTGCTTCTTTTCTTATAAACATTTAACAACTATTTTGGAACAATGATAATATATATATTATTTGTTAATTTCGAATAGGATTGATTCACTACTGTTTTATACTTTATGTTTATTTAAATATATATCATTTACTTTTAATTTGTATGTTTTTATTTTGGATATTCATTATAGAAAAATACATTTCAAAAAAATGGTCACCTCTCAACATCTTTTTCAACAAAGAATTTGATTTTCAGACAAACAAAATTCTCAACCAATATAAATAAATAGGTGATTCAACTAAATTAAGAATTCTTCGAATGATGGTTTTTTGAAGAGTATAAATATTTTCTTTTACAAAAAAAAATTCAACAAATATCACAAATGTTTGTAAAGCAAAATTTGGTATTTGTTCTTTGTTTTTTTATTTGATCAATATTTTTTTTTGGTATGGCGCGAATGATGAATACCCTTTAGCATGTATAAAAATAAATAAATCGTTTGTGATGCTTTGCATCTCAAGTGTACATTGTACACAGTGTAATTCGGTATGTTATCTTTTGAGTTTTGAAATTGATACTGGCATATAAAAAAAGTTGGTACTATGTATATCCATTTCATTGCATAAAATTGTCTATTGATCCGTAAAATTGCTTCTGATACCGAAGTATGTGATATAAGTTTGATACAATCGGATGTGTGTTTGTGCACGCGTGATATTTTCTTCTGATCAAAATAGTTTGTTATTTTAATTATTTCGTCGCCGGCGACGAAAAACCAATGCAAATATGGATCGAAGTCGCCACCATCGGCTTCGACGATTCGAATTGATTTTCTCCACGCTTGAGCTGTTACTTAATTGCTGCAACAAAAAAACACGTAAAATTGAAAAAAAGAGAACGGTAAGTGTAAACGGTTAATTTTCTTTGTACCCGTGAATTTTCTTTCCGACGAATTTCTCGGATCAATGTATAGAATGCATCATCTATGTAGTGCCGAAGAGCGGCCGACGTTTCATAGAATGGGCATCCGAATTGAGTTGCCAAGTGTTTACCTTCTTCGGTAGAAACCTGTGAGGAAATTAAAAATTACTTAGGAAGCCGTATTCAATACGAAAAAAAATGCGTTCTTACTTTTCGTTGTGATTGCAAGTCCAGTTTGTTTGCGATTAATACCAATGGAATGTCTTCAGTGAGACGAACTCTTGTTATGAGTTTTCGATATTCAGAGGCTTCCTGGAAACTATGGCGATCCGTTACGGAATAGCATATTATGAATCCCTCTCCACATCGCATATACTGGTCACGCATTGCCGTAAACTCAACTTGCCCAGCAGTATCTAATGAAATTAAATAATAATGCGTCACATCAATAAAATGTATCATGTTTCCTTGTTTTATTCTATTAATAACTTCATAATCTTACCCAATATATCCAACAGAGCTGCTTCGCCATCGATAACAGCTTGTTGCTGATATGAATCCTCTGTAACGAAGCATATGCATTGGACTATACATTTTTCTTGATAAATTAGAAAAGTTTTACGGTCTTTATACATACCAATTGTGGGATCATGATAGTCTAAAAAACTGTGACTGACAAACTGTAACGTAACAGCTGCAAATGAAATTAAAAAACTTCGATAAGAGTTGGCAATATGCGTTTTATAATATAACGTTCACTGTAAAGTGTAAACGTATCGAACCGATATATCAAATTTCAATTGACGAAAAACCGATAATTTATAAAATAATTTGATGAAATGTATTAGAACTCGTTTAGCAAACCTGATTTTCCAACGCCACCATCGCCAAGAATGACAATTTTATAAACTCTCAAACCACCACGAGTCGTCTTCGATGGATGTATTGTTTTCGATAAATCACCGTTATTCTCATTTTTTCCACTTTTATCATCTTTTTTATTCTTATTTTTCTTTCGAGGTGCACATCCAATTGATTCACCAGTCATTGTCAAATGGATTTTCGTTAAGAAGAGTTGAATACAGGTTTTTATTCAAATAAGAAAATCAGTTCTATGTTCTCTCTACATTTACTTCGAACACACGATATTGTCTGACACTAGTATTATCACTAGTCACTATATTTAATAGTGGCCATGCTTTAGTACCATTTTTGTTTTATGAAAACATCGTTGAACTTATGTAAAAAAAAATGTATTCAATAAAATCGTATAAAGTGTGAGTGAACGCACGAAAACAAATTGGAAATTTATCAAACTTTAAATATAGAAAATTAAAAATGGAAAATCATTTTACACTTTGTTTTTTTTTCGTATCTACGCGTAACATTCGCTCGAGCTCACAACTGGATTCGAAAGAACTTCAGTTTGTTCTGCTCATTCTTTAGATATTTTTAAATGATTTGCCAGAACTATTCACATTTGACACTGATTTATTTTTATTTCAACAATTTTGTTGATGATTTTTTTTGGTGATTTCTTGATGTTCTGCTCGAAAAGGAAATCACTTTTTATTTAATTTGTTGGTCATCAGTGTCAAAGCTCCTTTCGTACGCTGGCATTTCGATATCTGACTGACATTTGTGGCATTGGATTTTTACACAATAGTAAAATGAAACTTTCTCCAACGCATATTTTTTGTTTGTTATTCCCCGTCAAATGGTTCTCTCTTTCTCTCTATCTCGTTCTCTCAACATATGCGCTCTGCTTCGTGTAATCCTTCTCACATAGGAATATTTTTATACGGTGACACTAGTATTGCACACACATTCCCACAGACAAAACAACGACATAGGCATGCGCAACACACCAAAGTGCCGCGAATGTGGAGAGCTTCCTTTTTCATAAACATAACATTGAAGATATCATGCGGTGTAACGTACACGAGCTAAATATAATCAATAATCGCGAATGATTGAGGAGAAGTTGAATATTTGTTTTATATTTTCGAATGTGTACGCAATCATATGGTTTATATTTGTCAACGACCATATCATGTAAAAAGCACCAGTTCTCGTCCGATCACTGAAGTTAAGCTGCATTGAGCATGGTTAGTACTTGAATGGGTGACCGTCTGGGAACACCATGTGTCGTTGGCACTATTTATTTTTTTACATTTTTGAGAGAATCTTTGAAGAATTTTTTATATTTGTCTTAAATAAATAAATAATTATATAAAGTTAAATGTCCAGAATTTGTAGTTTTTTGAGCTGGCCTATGCAATTTCTCTAATCGAAAAGTGATGATCGAGAATAATTTACTATTCAAAAGTGGCCTTTGGAGTTGATTTTTTTTTATTTTGTTACTTAAATACAAAAACATTTATTTTTATTACTCATAAAATTATAAAATAACATTTTGATTCAGTTATTATCAATCACAATAATAATGATGGTGGATTACTTAATTAATTTTCTTAAAGCATGTTAAGTTTTAATTATTTTATAAATGTTTTCGATTTTTTGCCATGTATTGAAATGCAATTGCTCCATTATGTCCGTGACTGCTTTGGTTTTCGAATCATTTGTGATGTCTTGCGAGCAAATTTTGTCTGGAGGTGTGGATAATTCAAATGGAACGTCACCTTCGATCGATGGATCACTGAATGTGGTAAAAAATGAAACGATATTGAAGCGATTGATTTTTTCCAGGGTACTTACCAGCATCCAACGTTGCTATGTGCACGCGGTGGCATGTATTTTATGGAAAATAGTGCACGTAGCAATGTTGGATACTGTTTAGTTTCACTTAATACGTATCATAGAAATTAAAATAATGACATACCCATTTCTTGCAAAATTCGTTATTATATTGACCATATGCATGATTGCATTGTAATTCACATTCGAACTATTTCTGATTTCCAAATTATTTTCATAAATCTTCATACTGTCCAACGCACAACAACGGAACATGTAGCAAATATCTTCGGCATGGGCTGCACCATCGTAACTTAACTGCATTGCAAGTTTGAATAAGTTGATGTTAGCATTCACTGAAAATCTAATATAATAAAACCGTATTGTAGGAGAACATTGATGAAGAAAAACACGTAACATAAGATAAACTGTTTACCTTTGTAAAAATGTATTCCTTTTGTTGTTTCCTTCATTATTCGCCTTCATTTGATATTGAAAGGTTTTGAGAATGCCGTAGCCAAAATTCATATCAGAGAGTAGAGCAGTATTTTTACGTTTTATGTCATCAACGTTGGTTGTATGATTACAATAGGCCTTTTTCAATAATTCAAAGGCATTTTGGAATTCCTGCAAATGTAAATGTTTATTTAATCAAATAATATAAAATAAGTGCTTTTTGTTTGTGTAAATAGATCCGAAAAGTACCTTTGGATACGTTTCTTTGTCAAATCCATTAAAAGCTAGTAGTAAGTTTGAGTCTTTGCTATCTCCACTAAGAAATGGCTCACCATTTTTAGTTAGATTGGTATTAAATGTTATGTATTCCTGTGGAATGAATGTACTTTAATTATAACGAATTTGATTTTATTTTGTTCAAAGAAAATACCTGAGAAGTCATGCTCAACACAGTATCCATTGCTGGTGCTTCGTCAGATTGGTAAATCTCTTCAGGATGTTTGGTTAAAAAGGCTCCTTTTGTTTTCGAATCTTCGATTGTGGGCACCCAATGTGACTGAAGCAAAATCGTTCCAAAGTCACTCGTCGTTTCACACTGTGAAAGAGTATCACTATCTAGTGTTTTTAAATATTCAACTAATTCATCTTTGTCTTGAATATTTGAATGTTTCTGCATTCTCTCCAAATGATTTGGTTCATATAATGTGTAATAATTCAGAGCTGTACTACTAAGTAACAATGCTCGTTGAAAATATTTTCTAGACTCTTCGTTCAACATTTGATAATTAACGGATGCAGCACCTATTCCAATAAACGACGAAATCAAACTTTTCAAAATGAAAATTTTATTTATTTTTAACTAACCAGCACTCTCGCCAAAAAGTAAAATTTCTTCTTTATTTCCTCCAAAATTTTCGATATTTTCATAAATCCATTTGAGAGCCATTTGTTGATCTTTTAATCCCATGTTACCGGTGTACGGCTCAAAACCAAGATTCAAAAAACCGAAAATTCCCAGACGATAATTTATTGTTACCAATACATTATCGGGATCAATGAGAAAATCGGGACCATAGTACAAATTATCTCCAGAACCTTCAGTGAATGAACCACCATGAATGAATACTAGCACTGTTTTTTTCTTTGAGCCACCATCTAGAAAATATGATCACTTTTACTTTTAAATGCATCGAAAAGTATTATTGTATCTAGGCAAATATATAGTAAAATCAAAATACCTGGCACGTATACGTTGAGAAAAAGACAATTTTCAGATTTTGTTGTTGGTGTTGGCATAAAAGTTGATGACGGCGCACAACCATCTGAATAATTGTGCACTTTTAAAGGCTCAGTCCATTTTCGGGTGAGTGGTTCAGGTGACTTTTAAAAAACATGTTTGGTAATGACAACACTTATTGACAACATTTATTGATTGGAAAAATACCTTAAATCTTCGATCAACTTCAGCACCGGAATATGGATCTTTTCCCGTGATTGGCGCTTCAGCATACGGAACACCTTTGAATGCATAATATGTTTTACCGAATAAAGTCGATTGCTCTACGCCTTCAACGGGGCCATTTTTAGTTTGCCTTATAGTTGGATCACACGTGATTGATGAAAAAAGTAAAACTCGTATCAATTCACAAAGTATATTCGACATTCTACAGGTTTCCAGCGACGAATTTCTATGAACATATCAATTTACTTTGAGTGAAAATTGGACTTTTTAAAATAATTATATTGTTTATTAAATCTATTCAAGTGATTTAGTTCTCTTTTTCTACAAAAAATCTAAAAAATGATCCGAAATCGAATTTCGATTAAATTTATTTATAAATTGAAATTAAAATGAAGTCACGTAGATATTTTATTTGAGTCTTTATATACGAGGTAATGATCATTTAAGATATCAGAAAGAAGTAAAAACTGTATCGTGAATGAAATTCACCGAATACGGGTTCAAACATTTTTTTCTAAAAAAGAAGCTGATTTAACTGTCTAACTATTTTGTGATAAATTATAATTATTCTGTATGATAGGTTGTGAATAAAGAGTAGAATTTTAATTCCATCATTAAAAAATTATAGACTCCACCTAAGTAGTACATATGTACTACATAGCGGTAAAAACAAAGGAACATTTTCAAACTCTTACTTTTTTCTCAAATTTAGAACTTACCACACAAATTGTAACAATGCTAATTAGTCTAATAGTTTCCAATTCGGAAGTTTAAAAAAATACTGAAGCGCTTCTTAATGATAATCCACTTAAATAGTCTGAATGAGATAATAGAAAGTAATCATCTGTACACAAAGTAGGTAAAATGAGAACAAACAAACAATTAGTAAAATGCTAACCATAAGACATTAATTATTTACAATAAAACGATTAAATGTGAAAAGACGTGACTAAAAGTGATTTTGCGAATAAAAATTATTATTCTGACGTAAATGATGATGACGATCAAATTGAATAACATTTTTTTCTTATCTAACATTCCTCGGCTTTATTTTTTTACAAGTTCCTAATTCAAATAAAAATTCTTCAAATATTTTGACGAGATTTATTAAAAACATACACTTTACGTGAATGGAAAAACGTAAACCTCTGTTTGTTTTGTGTATTTGAGTAACGATTAAACGATAATTTTTCTTGTTGGATAACCTCTAGCATTCAAACCGTTGACTTTGAAAATTAGGCCGCTTTGTTGTGAAAATGTTCCATCACTCAAGCCTCCGGTTGTAAAATTGTATGCTGTGCTTCCTGTTGTAACAAACAACGTCCTGTAGTTTTTTCCTCCAAAAACCAAGCCAAGTACAATCTCTGCAGGTATATGAATGATCTCTGTAACTTGTGCATTTCTGTGCAAAACAAAATTCATTTGTTTTCGTTGGTTTTTAAAATCTAATTTCGAAATGTTACCTTGGATTAATTTTCCAAACAGCAGAGCCAAACAATAGTCCAACATACAAAAAACCTTCATCATCAATAGTTAAAGCCAGTGGAAAAACACCTTGTCCCATGCCATTCTTTTTGAAGTCAAATACGATACGCTTGTTGCCTGAAATATACAACATATCTCTGCAATTTTATTCAATTTTTTTTATTTTTGAAATAATGTTTTGCTCTTTTGTATTTACAAATCTCATCCGTTTCTGGATTCCAATCAAATTCATAAACTTGATAACGGCATGTGTCAATGAAGTAAAACAGTTTTGCTTTAATGTTCCAATCCATGCCCGATGCCACCATAATTTTTCTTTCAAGAGCTTTGACCCCCAAACATTTTGTGTAAAGATAAAGTGCTGCATTTGAAGTTCTGGGCTTGATACAAAGATCCAACGTGAACGTTCCACCGTAAAAATTTCGGTTCGGTGAAGCTCTTCCCATATTATACTGATTTAATTCATAATTGGATCCTGTTTCTACGGTGAAAGTGTCACGAAGAAAACGAATAATCGAATCTTTTCCATTCCATTGCACGACATTAACGGAATTTTTATTGCTAATCGCATATTGGTCGATCTGTTTATCAATCGGAATAATGAAGGTTGTTGAAATGTTTCCTTCAATCGCAGCTGAATAAAATCGATTTTCGGTCATATCAAATCTATTAATTGTGCGCTTAGAATCGAAAAAATCACAAAAATATAGACTTTGAGTTTCAGCATTATAATAGGGCGAATATGCTTGTAACCATTTTTCTGATGAAATTGGTTCGACCGTGTAACCACGCTGTAATTTGAAAATGATAACACAGTCATATAATAAATGGAAATTTAAATAAGATTCATACCACGAAATTCACAAAAATGCCAATCAGTACGCTAATTTTATACATTTTTCATTTAAACATGTCCAAAAACACTAAAAACAAATTTGAATTTAACATTGTCTTAAATACTAATTGATTATAAAACAAGCTCTTGACATTAAAGTCTACTTATCGAAAATCATAAATAACCAAAGTTGTTTATACAGTTGCAACCGTGAGAGTGTCCCACTGTGAGAAAGAGAACATTGCTTGTGTTTAAAATAAAATATGGTAAAATCAACACAGGTGTTACTTAGGTCAAAGGAAACGATACTTTTTTTTTACTCTAACTTATTTAGATAGATTTCATTATTAATTATTTGAACTGCAGCGTTCGTCCTTTTAACGGGATTGGATTTGTATATGAAAATATCGATTTTCACCTGAAATGAAAGATTTTCAGTGTGACGCAGTAAATAGTTCGATTTTCTGCATAGTATATCAGTTTTATTTTTTATTTTTATTATATATGAAACATTTTGACCAACGAAAATACGATCTAACACAAAATTGTCTCCCTGGATAGCCTTTTGTTTTGAGGCCCGTTATCATATATACAGAACCACTCTCTGGGCCGAATGTTTTATTTGATAAACCGCCATCAGTTAAATTAAAAGCTTTACTAGCCGTGGTAACAAAATGAATGTCTAGATTTGGGCCCCCAAATGAAGCAGAAGTCACGATTTCTGCGGGTATTGTAATTTTCTTCATCACTTTAGAAGTTCTAAAAATGAAATAATAAGATGTGCCACTATTTTGATGTTCTTTTGCAAGATTTCAGAACTATTAAGTTTACCTGGGATTAATTTTCAATACACAGCTTCCAGCGTATAAAGTTGCATTCAAATAACCTTTGACGTCAATTGTCAATCCAATTGGAACAACTAACAATTCCCCGATTCTTTTTTTATATTTAAAAACCACACGGCCATTACCTAGAACATAAAAAGTAAACTATGAAGTGCACCAAATAAGCTTCAACAAATAAGCTTACAAATATCACCAGTTTTTGGATCCCAGTCATACTCTCTAATAACACCAGAACACGAATCGGTATGATAAAATTTATTGTTGTCTTCATTCCATTCTATTCCAGACGAAGCTCGTATATTCCTCAATAATTTTTTTGTTCCTGTCAGTGTGTCCATAACATATAGAAATAGCACTAAATAGTGTCGATATCTATACTATATCGGAGCACTATATATGTAAGATATTCCGCAAGACACCGTAGCTCACGAACGAAGTGAGTGCGGACAGCAAACATGTTGACGCATACACACAGTTTATTCTACTGCCGCACGGAAATTTGTGATTTTTTCCGTCTACACTGACTTCGATCGTGCGATACGGTGCCGTGCGGCAATATCTTTCATATATAGTGGACCGATATAGTATAGATATCGACACTATTTAGTGATATTTCTATATATTATGGACACACTGGTTCCTGTACATTTTGTATAACGATAAACGTTCCCATTTGCGGATGCTGTTTCAGCGCAAAAATCACTTCGAAATGTTCCGCCATAAAATTGGCATTTTGGCGACGCCTTTGCTACATTCCAATCATTATTTGTATACTTCATTGATTCTTCGACACCAGTGATGTGTAAAGATACTATCTAAAGTTTAGATAACAGATAAGATATTTTAAAAGTTTTAAAATTCTATCTAGATAAGATAAAAGATCTCGTTATCTTTATCAGATAATTTTCAAAAGTATCTTAAAAACCTCAGATAAAGTATCTTTGCCCATCACTGTTCGACACCGAAACTTTGTCGGACTGGCCGTGCGTCTTCATTATTACCGCCCCATTCAATTATAGTTACAGTGCGTTTATTACCGATTGCAAACTGATTTTTGCATTCCTTCAGGGGAATCATGAAGGTTGGCGCAAGTTATCCTTCGATGCCAGCTGAATAAATTTGATTGCTGTAATAACCAAATCTATTTATAGTACTAGATTGACTTAAATAGTCGACGAAGTATAGACTATTAGTGCAAACATGCCAATGCATATTGTATGGTTGGATCCATTTTTTTGATGAGATTGGAATCACATCATGGCAAAACTGTAATTTTTCAATCAGTTGGTTGATATTTTTACATGAACAATTGTACAATTTGGGGTTGAAAACTTACGTTGTAGTTTATTTGGAAAACAAAAATTAAACAAGCGATTTTCATGATCGAGAAAAAAATCATTTGGACTGATTTTTAAATACTATAGTCAAATAATGTGTTTTAGACTCATTAAATATCTTATTCTATTCAATGATCATCGTTTATAAATCAAAGACAAGGTCATCTTATGACTGCAGAACTGAGAGCAACAAAAATCAGCCCTGACCAATATTTACGTTTGTCATTGTATACAAGTGGAATATTTATTTCGGTTTGCACAGCTCTCGCTGAATAAATAATGATATTTCATAATTCATACTGTTTGATATACAAACATTTTTGTTTGAATTACCATTAAATATATCCTCGTTTCGAGTGTTATCATGAACAATCAGAGGTAAGTAAATATTTTAAATGCAATGTCAATTTAATCAATGTTTCGTCAAATTTTGGTTTCTTATCTGCGGTTAAATTTATTATTATCCACAACTCTTTTAATTCACGGTTTGTAATCTGTTTCACCGATTTATCAATTTTTGATGTTTTTATTATCAGTGCTAAAACAATGTAGTATTTTTTATAGTAGTAGAAGGCTATGAATTTTTGAATGTTTTGATCTATATTCCTTTCTGGTTGCATGGCATTTTCTTGATTTCTTCTACTCGCTGAT